TGGCTCAAGTGGTAGAGCACTAGCCTTGAGCTGAAGAGCTGAGGGACAGCTCCCAGGCCCAGAGTACAGGCCCCACAACTGGACCCCCCCACCAAAAAAAAAAAAAAAGAAATCACAGAAAAAGCCAGAGTGGCTCTGTGGCTCAAGTGGTGGAACACTATCTGTGCCCAGGCCCAGAGTCAAGCCTCAGGACCAGAAAAAAAAGTCTCATGGATTTGAACCCAAATCCTCAGATCTCAGCCTCCTGAGTAGCTAGGATGACAGGCTAGGTACCCCTGGTACCCCGTTCTCCTTGTGAATTTTAATATTTGTCATGGCTGTTTGATGACAAAGCTCAAGGGCTGCTCCTGAGGGTAAGGATGTGAGGTTTGCTCTGCTGAGGTTTCCTGAAGCTGGAGGGAAGCTAGCAAGAAGGGTGTTTGCGTGTGTGTGGGGACTGTCTTCTTGACCTGGGCCTTTCTCCTCCACAGCCAGGTCCACCCCTGGACTCGGCCTTCCATCAAAAGTTGGAGACAGATGTAAGTTCTCCCAGATCCAACTTCTGCTGAGTTCCCAAAGTTGGGGAGAGAATATTCTAGATGGTGAAGGAGACAGAAAGCCTCGATGAAGTCCATGATCAGCTTCTTGCTTCATTTCCCCAGACTCTGCTGACTAAGTTGTGCGGGCAGGATCGACTCCTGAGAAGCCTCCAGGAGGACATCGACCAGCGGCAGGAGGAGAAGGTTCTGGAAGGGGAAGGGTGATGGGGGTGGGAGGGGAGTCCTTGGGTTTGGGTGTGGGGGCAGAATTCTAACCACTGTGCTCTGGAATGCAGGAGCAGCTGGAGGCCGCGTTGGAGCTGACCAGGCAGCAGCTAAGCCAGGCAACCAGGGACGCAGCAGCACCGGGTAGGGCCTGGGGCCGCCAGCGCCTCCTGCAGGACCGGCTGGTCAGTGTGAGGGCCGCCCTCTGTCACCTGGCCCAGGTAAGTTATCTGGGAAGGGGCAGTAGGTCTTGGACAGGTAGAAATGAAGCAGAAGCTGAGGGCTTTGAGGAAGTTCTGGAGAATATGATCTAGGGAAGTTTTTACCCAATAAACTTTTTTTGTTGTTGTCAGTCATGGGTCTTGAACTCTGGGCCTGGACGCTGTCCCTCAGCTCTTCAGCTCAAGGTTCTACCTCTTGAGCCACAGCACCACTTCCGGTTTTCTGGTGGTTTATTGGAGATAAGAGTCTCATGGTCTTTCCTGCCTGGGCTGGCTTTCAACTGTGATCCTCAGATCTCAGCCTCCTGAGTAGCTAAGGTGACAGGCATGAGCCACCAATACCTGGCCCAATAATCTTGAGTATCATGAAGGGGAAACTGACAAGCAACACAACATGGTTTAGTAGTTTAAGAAGGGCTCGTTAAGCTAAGCACTGGTGGCTCACCCCTGTCATCCTAGCTACTCAGGAGGCTGAAATCTGAAGATTGTGGTTTGAAACCAGCCCAGGCAGGTAAGCCTACAAGATATTTGTCTCTAACCACCGAAAAGCTGAAAGTAGAGATATGGCTCAAGTAGTAGACCACTAGTTGGGTGGGAAAAGCTAAGGGACAGTGCTCAGGCCCTGAGTTCAAGCCCTAGTCCTAGCATGAAATAAAGAAGGGTTAAGTTTTTTCCCCCATTTTTTTTCCTTTTATCTCTTTTCTCTATTTTTTTTCTTTTCTTCCTTTGAATACTAGTGATGGATTGTAGAGATTCATTCACAACATGGTGATTTTGTGTGTGTGTGTGTGTGTGTGCGCGTGTGTGCGTGCGCCATTTCTGGGGCTTGCTTGAACTCAGTGCCCAGGCATTGTCCCTGAGCTCTTGTGCTCAAGGCTAATGCTCTACCACTTGAACCACAGCTCTACTTCTGGCTTTTTGGTGTTCAACTGGAGATGAGTCTCATAGACTTTCCTGCCCAGGCTGGCTTTGAACGGCAGTCCTCAGATCTCAGCCTCCTGTGTGGCTAGGATTATAGGCGTGAGCCACCAGCATCTGGCTGACATAGTGGTTTTGATTTTAGCTCCTGGCTTTCTATACTCTCCAATTCAAAATGTTTGTATGACCTTAGAAAAATTATACAATCCCTCTGGGCCTTGTCTGCTCTCCTAATGTAAACTCTACATACTAAAAGTAATATCTAGTCACTGGGTATGGTGGTGGACGCCTGTAGTCCCAGCACCTCATATCTAACCTCATGTCTCCTTCTCGCTTTGGGTGACCTGAGGAGCGAGAGCGGGTTTGGGATACTTACAGCGGCTTGGAGCAGGAACTAGGGACCCTGAGAGAAACTCTGGAGTATCTGCTGCATCTCGGGTCCCCCCAGGTACATCCTCCCATTGAGCCCCAAACCCAACACCCCACTCCCAAGTTCCACCTGGAAACCTTTTTTTTTTTT